ATATTATGTTCTCACTCATATGTTTTCCTAATCACTCATCACAAAGCACCCCCTTTCCTCGTCACGTGACCAAAAATAAAAATGAACAATAACATATTTGTCACGTGGTCCAGCTAGCCTAACCATCTAATTCTATTAACCGTGGTTCATTGTACATTTTTTATTGACACGGTTTCCAATTTACGATGCACTTATTTGACCAGTATTTTATTGGTTAGAATAGTTATTTTAATTAACCAATTTTTCGGTTGTTTTGACCAAGCAAATAGTATTGGTCAAAAGAAAATGCATCTGAAACAACCAATTCAAATTGGTTACTTTAACCAATCTGTTTTTACAATGTACCATTCGTCAAGAAATGAAAGAATAACGACATTGTCTAGCATGCACTCGTATAACTCAAATAACGTTGCCTGAAATGTGTCCACAATTCCTCGCAATTAAAAAGGTAAATTCTCTTCATCGTGCATGGCAGTAGTTTTGCGAATTTCTAGTCTATTTCATCTTGGAAAGCTACTTAACTAACCACCACCCCCACCATCGAGGGCTTTGGCATTTTGGAGACAAAATGGAAAACCATATTTTGCAGCGCTGAAAGAATGTCATATTTATGTTATTTTAATTTAATGCACTTACGAAACCCTGTGTGTATGAACCGCTTGTTTTGTCGGGCAGTAATTTCCTCAGTGTGATGCACAATTCCAAATAAGAAAAGCTCCCAGTCTTTAAAAGGTATACATATATCTCCACAGGACATAGTATCAAGAATGTCCGCTTTAGCAAGCGATCCATATCAAATACACTCTCCAGATTTTTTAACATTGCGATAGCTTCACTACATAAAACAAAGAAGGATGTTAAAATTTGTCGACTTTTTGAAAGTTTTTAAGGGAAGGGAATATTACTGTAGTTCTGTAATTCTTGTAGAATCATTGCTTGTGTTCGCTCAATTCTTCTCTTCGCGTGTCAAGTTTGCCATTTTAGCTTACCCGGAGTTCACTTGAACAAATCTTTGGGACGAATCCAAAAGTGTGCAATGAAGATCATCTATACGGTATGATATTTCTCATGGTCATGCACTGGAACAAGCAGAAATTAGTAAACTTTCTGAGTGTATATATACAACAATTATGTGACAAATTCTTTAAAAAAATAGTATACGACCTTGTTCCACACAATGTGAGACATAAAAGATCTTTCACTGTTATGTGTAAGACTGATCGTTTTAAGAATTCTTTCGTAAAAACGAGAATATTTGCTGTTTTATAAACGAACCTTAAACATACACTTTTCACTTTTGTACATAAATGTAAACCATAATTTTAAATCCTTCGTTTTCTTCCACCAATGTCAATTTTATATTCTTTTTTAAAATTGGTCCTAACGAATAAGAGAACAGACATTTCTACTTTTAAATATTCTACTAGTCAATTTATTCAGATAGAGGAAATTTAAGCTTAGAAATATATGGTCAAAGAGACGCTTGGTCACTGGACGAACTTCAAACATTTAAATCACGACAACAGTTGTCAATTCCAAAAAGCTTAAAGTGGGATTTATAAACTTATCGAATCCAAATAACCTAAAGATTTAGTACAAACAACAGTCAGTGAAAGTTAATTTTGACAAAAAATGTCCGATATCGAATCCAAATAACCTAAAGATTTAGTACACACAACTGTCAGTGAAAGCTAAATTTTGACAAAAAATGTCCGATCTCAATTTAAAACACGAATTCATCTGTTTTTGTTCGTGAGGTCAGTTTTTGCAAAACATGTTCGCTTTGTAAATGCATTTTCTTCGCCATTAGTATATGTAACTTCATGAAATTACATCCACATTGAGTTCAAAACTCTCTAGTTGTTTCCCTGTGGATAAAAGTTATCGATGGATGCAAAAATCCACCATTTCAATTCCAAACAAAATCGCTTACTGCAACAGTCGACATGCATGTAGTTCGATTGCAAAGTGATGACTCCTACCATCATGCATAGCGGGCATCGCTGTAAAGCAAATGGATCAGTGTCAGAAGGACTTCAAGGGCAACAAAATTACCTTGCTATGATATGGCTTTGAATACTTCTACACGGTAGCTTTCCTAATCCCCACCATTTCCATTTTGAGAAATCAATGCTTTTATCGCAAATCACGTCCTCAAAAGGCTTCGATTCTCGTCGAAGAAAATGCAGCAGAGGCAAAGCAAGCAGCCAGTGATAGACAAGAAGCCTGTTTGACGATTGTTCTCGATAAAACTGAAGGATTGTGCTGATGAAAGTACTACATAAAAAAAAAAAGAATTTATTATATATATATGAATGGGTGTGAGGTAGTGTTCTTTCATCACAAATCAAAGAACACTTGACAATGGAAAAGCAGACGGTTTATGAACATTTGGAATCCCACAAGAAATCAAAGTTACTTACAATAAAGTGGAAGATTTTACATGCTAATATCGTGAACGACGGGGAGAGGAAATACGTCGAAGCATTTGAAATACAAAAACATTCTAGAGACTTGATGAACGGTTGTACTGGTAGAACAATTAGTGTTTGAACTATTTTCATCTATTAACATTGTATAGTACTTTAAACTACGGGACAACAAATCAGTTGCATGTTTGAATTATTTTAATCTATTAACATTATATAGTATTTTAAACTACGGGACAATAAATCAATTGCATGTTTTGCATATTTTTATATACATTAGCATACTCATTGTAAATTTAGTATATATATATATATATATATATATATATATATATATATATATATATATATATATATATATATATATATATATATATATATATATATATATCTGACGATGTAAACACGTTGTAATTTAGCTTTTTGCTATTGAACGTGTATTAATAAACCCACTATTATTATTATATTATTATCCATTGTTTCTGCCAACATGAGTGGGGTCCTTCTTTTCTTCTTAGTTACCTGGTGTGAAACAAAATAAATTATTAGACTAAATATCTGCTAATAACAAAGTTGGATGTTTGTAGCATAGAAACTACTTTACCCTAAATAAACTTAATTGATCACAATTCAATATATTTTTAAACCAAACCTGAGAATGTTGTGCACATTGCGCTAGTATTATAAATTATTTATACCTATCAAAATGACCATACCTTGTCTAGTGAGAACCACGAGGCGTCTCTTCCACAAAAAATACATATCTCTGGGAGTACATGCGCGTTTCTTTTAGGCAGGGCTTTTATATTTATAGCTTCTGCGACTGATTGACGTGTAATTGTTAACCTTGGTTCTATTGCCTCTACTTCCACGTGTGATTCTTCGGTAGAAGTTATAGTTTTAGACCTAGTTCCTTCTCCTTTTTCTTCCTTTCTCTGTTATCTACAGATCTTCTCTTCATCATAAAATCTCTTCCAGCATTTCATATGATGGTTCCATTCTAAGTTAATGGTGTCAGGGTTCTTCTCGATGTACGAATTGACAGATCTGTCATCGATATTTTCGCACGATTTCTTAGGTATTTCAGCTTGTTGATATTTAAGTTTGGCCCATTTTGACCTACACTCAAGAAATTTCTTAAGCCTTTGGCGTGTAACTTTGCAGGGTTGCTCCGTAACGCCATCAAAATGCATAAAACATGAGGATATTCGAGTTTTATAAATATCTTCAGCCATGTTTATTTGCATAACTGAGTGTGTTTTCACCATTGAAGCTTTCCACTTCAAAGCATGTGCGTGTGTGCGCAGTGCGAGTTTGGCTGAGTTGCGCATGCGTATTTGCTATCAAAACAATGGCGGTTCGAATATTTCGAAGGGCGAAAATATCAAACTTTGGAGGGATTTTTCTCCCAATTGTGCACCTGTTTCGCTTGGGGAGCAACGGATTCTGATAAAGTAAGTTTTTATCTATTTATTCATGTGAAAATTACGTAGTTCCACGAGGGGTGCAACGGAATCCGTTTTCTAAGCATCTTTTGGATGCTCATTCTACGGCCTACACCAGAAAAATAAAACGGATAAGCAATCTACGCATAAGGAGGCAGAGAATCTAGTTTTGCCGCTGAAAGAGAACGCTGCGAATGATGTAGTTTCGATAACAAAATCAAAGACGATGAAAAGGACGCAAAATTCCGGCGCATCCTCATCGAGCACAGAACGTAACAGACCACAACATTGAAAAGCAGCAAGCAAAGGCCCAAGAAATAGCATTACACAACTTACTGCCAAAACGTTGCGTTTCGGCGCTATTTTTCTAAACAGGCAGCTTAGCGACCACACATAGGTAGGGTTACCCCATCGGGCAACATAGCCCTAGCAGTAGGGTTACCCAACCTCATGTAAACGCTTGCTATTTTCTGACCCGCTTTCTAGGGTAACCCTCCTGATAGGTTCACCCTACCTCCATGTAAACAGGCCTTAAAGCTGTCACACAACTGATGCATTTAACCTAATCACAGTTCAACCTCTTCACCAACCTCATCTCCAGGGCATTTCGCCTCCACGGCTGAAGATAGACGAAAATGGCCCTGGGATCGGCCGATCGATCAATTCTACAATCCCATTGCATGTTCTGTTCAAAAGCGCATTAATTCTTTTGTAGTTAATTTATTCAAACAACCCTAGTGCTTAAAATTTTTCTGTCTTCAACTTATACGGCAAACTTAAGAAAATATCGACAGTATAGAGCGTTTGAACACGACGTCACAGCCGCCATGTTGGTGTTCCAATTCAAAATAATTTTGATTAGACTCTTTTGTTGGAACGCCAACATGGCCGCCATGGCTTAGGTAGAGTTGATCCCAATGGGGAATGAGTGCAAACGCTCTATACAGGGTGTCCCAAAAAAGAAAATTATTGAAATAACGTATTGTTAGAATTTGAATGCCTCAGCACTCTGCCGAACCCACACGTGCATCAAAGGTTGACGTAAGTAAATTTTATGGATGAAGAAACCGTTAATAAATTCCCAAGAGCAGAAAATCGTGCGCTTTACAAAGATATTTTAATTTCCTAATTTGTCAATATTTAATATATGCACCCTTGTCAATATTTTATGCCTCTTTGCGTTCAGCTTAGTGCTAGGGCATTCAAACTTTAACAATACGTTATTTCAATGGTTTTGCGTTTTTTGGGGGACACCCTATATAGTCAAGATTTACTTACATCCAGGGACGCCGGAACGATGTGAAGGCAAGGGGGGTAGATTTTCGTGAAAGGGCACTTTTGAATTGATATATACCAAGAGATGTTTGCAAAACATCGGGAGTTGAACTTCGCCTAGTCATGTTTTCTATTTATTGGATGATAGGGGTGGGAGGGGGTTCTCCACCAGGCGATTGTGTATTCTTGAAGCTCGATGACTGGATTTCTTGCGTTTTCTGAAGCAAATTCGTAAAAGAATTAACTAACATTTCTGATAATTCGCTATTTCGCCAAGGCAATCCTTTAAATCGAAAGGGCACCTTTGCCCCCCCCCTTGCCCCTCCTGGTAAAGGGCAACGGGGGTTGCTGCCCCACCTGGTCCCCCAGTTCCGGCGTCCCTGATTAGATCCTACACTTGCCGTGCTAGGTGTTTGTTGGACTCATGTATATAAGAATTATGCAAGCCTATACTCTTAAAATAACGTATTTAGATGAGCAAGACGCCTGCTCAGGCGTTCACACTGGCCTGAAAATAGCAACTTTCGTGGTACTGGGTATAATGTGTAGTAGAGAAGTAGATAGGGATACAGGATCATAGGGATACTGGATCATATAAATACGACCAATAAATACAATCATGATCAGCAACTATCAACCATAATATACCAAGACGCCGGCTCAGACGTACCCTCTGGCTACGGGCAACTCAACCTGACAAGCCAGGCCCACTGTATAACTATGATCATCAACTATCAACCGTAAATAATGACGGGCCAATAATAGCGAAGAAATTATATAGTCCTTGATTTTTAGTGCCGTTATATGGCTAGTTTCAGGTGCTAAAAAGTTCATAGACATAGACGATTCTTCTAAAAAATACGCCAATTTGCTTCCATTTATAAGATAAACTGATCCTAACCCAAAGCCCTTCTCTAACCAGTAAACATATATTAATAAACAATTTGAGAATTAAAAAAGTGGGGGGGGGGGGAAGTTGGATCTTGTTCCAAAAACAACTCAACCGTATCACGTTTCACTTCGCCGCACGCAACGCCACCTCGCTAAATATAGTCGAAAACATACATTTTATAGTAATATATGAAGAATTAGAAAGTAATTTGGCGCAAATTAATGTAATTAGGTGCAAATTTATAATTATGCAAATGAATACAAGAGCACCACGCATGTTTATGAGCCTACAACGTATATTTGTACTTGTTAACTAAAAAGTCAAACTTTAACTTGTCCTTGTTTATATTCCACTATATCCGTATAAATTCGCAGCTGTGTCCAAATTTTGGGGTTTTCGAGTCGTTACACAAAGAAAAACACATTAATTCAGCACGCAAGAAAGGCCAGAGTGCGACACAACGTAAAATCCATAGGAAATCGGCACAATTCTTTGAAAATTCAACGAAACTGTGTGATATATATATATATATATATATATATATATATATATATATATATATATATATATATATATATATATATATATATATATATATATATATATATA